TGACGAATTTGGCTGAAGGTGCTAAGGTGGGGTCTCCGGGGGTCAGCTCTCCTGGTCTCTCACAGCAGCCCCAAGCATCTCCAAAAAACAGCAAGATGCCCGCTGATCCTGGAAGAGTTCGCCTTATTTGCATGATATCTGATGTCCACACTGCCAGCTGGGGGTTTCTAAACTACTGGATTTCATTGCTTTTGGAATCTGCATTGTGTGAAGACATAACTCATGTCAGTCTGAGAGTTACAGGGCCTTTCTCCGGCTCCCACAGTCACAGGGTACAAGCAGGCATCAGGGAGAGCTTGGGGTCCAGCTGGCCGGCACCAGGGCACTGCCTGCTGTGACACCTCCTCAGTGAGGGGGCTGCTGAACATCCAGCCCCTGCAGCATGGCCCTCTGGTCTGCGACATCCAGAGGCGGCTCCCAACGGGGCAGGGTGTCTAGGGATGGAGGCTGTGTAGGCTGACTGTGAGCCTGAACACACCTTTTCTCTTCACAAACTGAGGTCTGTGGGCATTTGTTACAGACCTGAAAGCTGACCAGCACGCAGTCCAGCCTGCACGTACCTGGGAAGGAAGCTGCTGGAGGATCTGAGAGGGGCTGCACTGTAACGAGGGTGTGCTTGCTGCCAACAGCAGGTCATGGGTGTGGACACGGCAACTCCGGTCCCAGTCACTCGGTGGCACACAGAAAGATGGCAGGCCATAGTGCCAACAGAGGCCAGAGCCAGGCAACTGCTGACCCAGACCCTGTGAGGGGCACACACTCTGTGCCTTGCTTTGATTTGTGCCATTTTTTTGACCTGACACTATTTTTGTCACTTCTCTGTCTTCCCAACCGGGTGCCGCACACCTGGGTGTTCACACTGTGGGTTGAGCAGGTGCATGCACACTGGCCCAACAGCCAGGACAGGGGCAGTTCTGGTCCTGCTGGAATAGAGTTTTGTCTGCAGCATGGCCGGCTGGTCCTGCAGAGGGCAGAAGACGCCGGGTGGCGTCTCTCCCTGAGGTCCTCTCAGAGGACTCGGCAGAATGAGCCTCAGCGTCCAGCTGTGAGCTTAGTTTGTTTTTTTTTTTGTTGTTTTTTTTCCGGTACCGGGAATCAAACTCATGACCTTGCACTTGCCAGGCAGGCGCTGTGCTGCTGAGCTAAATCCCCAGCCACAGCTGTGAGCTTAGTGGTGGATGAATCTACTGTGAGTACAGTATCCCCACGGTCCAGTTGCCTTCCCCCAGCCCCGCCCCTGAACACAACGTGGGGAGAACATTTCAGATCTAAACCGTGACAGTGACAGACACGTGTTCATGCAGCCTCTTTCACCGGGGGCAACTGTGACAGACGTCGTGTGAGGGTCCAGGCTCTGCTGTCTTGACAGGGTTCTCACTAAAGCATGGGGTCCCTACCCTGGTTTTCTCATTGAATGAGAAGTGATATAGGTGATTTTTCTATTGAGCAAACATGTTCTGAACTTTAGCTAAGTCCTGAGTTCCCTACCAGGTCTTGGGGTGGGTTGGGGTGGGCAGGGGACCTCAGCATGCTGCTGCCTCCTTCAAGCGCAGGCAAGGGCAGCATGGCCCAAAGGAAGTGGCAGAGATCACGTGAGAGTGTGGCGTGGTCTCTGGGGCACCAGCAGGCATGGGAAATTGTAGTTTCTGCACCTGGCATGAGGTCCGGGCAGCATGTTGGGAAATGCCAGAGTTTAATGGTCCTAAGATTTCTAAATATGAAAGAATTTGCCTGCAGAAGATGGGAAGAACAGCTGAACCTCTGAACATGGAATGAGGTCGTCTCTACACCGTGGTTGTTTACTTTTTATGTTAGCAAATCAGTGCTCTTTGCAAATACTTAGGAAGCAAACCTTTAATACCGGAACCATTTTGCATGTGGACACCAGCCTCCTGCTTGTGCTCACTTCCTGCTTTGTCAGGTGCTGATTTTGAACCTGATAATCAGCCTCAAACACTGCCTTCACCCATTCTGCAAACACTGTGCCGGAAGGTCCTACAGTCATCCTGTGATGGAATGCTAAGGCACGTTGTAGAAAATTAACCACAATTACTCAAGTCTCTTTCACTATGACTTGGAAAAGACTATTTTTGCTTTTTTCAAATAAAAAATATACGGTATTCTTCCCTTATCTAAGAAGGATACCTTCCAAGACCCCCAACAGATGCCCCAAACCATGGATATTACCAAACTTTGCATGTACAATGCTTCTTCCTACTCACAAAGTTTAACTTATAAATCAAGCACTGCAAGATATTACCAACAATAATATAATGAATCAATTATGACAGAAACTAATGCAATTACCAGCCTCACTCTTCTTGCACTTGGGACCATTATTAAGTAAAATAAAGGTTACTGGAATCTGGGCCCTGTGAGTCTGCAGAGTTGACCTGATCATGCAGACAGTGATTAAGTAACACCTGCACAGGTAGTGCATCCAGAGTGGATACGCTAGACAAAGGGATGATTCCTATCCCAGGTAGGACAGAGTGGCATTTCCTTATGCACCACTTCAAGTTCAGGAATTGTTTTTGGGGTTTTCCATTTAATGAGTGGACCGTGGTTGACTGTGGGTTAACTGGAAGCATGAAAAGCAACCCCATAGATAAGAGGGGTTGCCGCGAGGTGAGGTTCTTATTAGTGAAGGCTGTGTTCTTAGTTAACAGTGCCTGCTTCCCTTCCTGAGTCAGGCATGAACTTTCCCTGGAGAACTGCCATTTAGAGAAAAACTGTAGTTTTATCAGGTTTAAAACTACTGAAATAAATATAACACTATTTAATAGATGTAAGTTATTGGTATTAGAAGTATTGAAAAAACTTTGGATTTGGGGATCTATTCTACTTAGACACCACCAGCTAGGCCTCCTAAGGGACCTCAGCCTGAGATCTTTCTTGTAAAACGCCATTAAATCAGAACTTATGCTCCACCAATCAGAAGCAGTCAAGATGCTTATGTAACAGGGACTTTCCAATGAGGTGGGCCACATCAGACCAGAGAGACCAGTCAGGTGTTTGTTCTGCTTTACTTTTGTGCCTGTCCTGTAAATATCTCCGTCTTCTTTTTTTCCGCTCGAGATGGAGATTCTGAACCACTTCTGGCTTGGTGGTGCCCACTTCAGGAATTGTTTTCTCTAGTAAACTTATAGTGCCCCAGTTTAATTTTGGGCAGAATGAGTTTTCATAGATTTCAATACAGCATCAGAGTTATGTGACGGGCTGCTGGGTAGGTACAGGCATCCCGTGGCTTGGCTGGTGTCTCCCCAGTGACTCTGTGATGTTAAGCACCCTGGCATGTGCTTATCTGCCATTTGTGTGTATTCTTTGGTGACATGCCTGTTTAGACCTTTCACCCATTTCAAGACATTATTTTGGAACAGTTCATTACAGTAAGTCCTCGACTTACAAAAGAGTTCCAGTCCAGGGGGGGAATGTTTGTCAGTCAGGCTCGTTCGAAAGTCCAACAAACTGAGTCTTATATACCTTTGACACAAATACACAAGGTAAAGCATAAAAAAACCAAACACACACACAAATACTGCAAAGAAACTTTTACTTTTACAGTTACCTTAACATGAGGGTGCAGTACAACCAGCATCTATGAGACTGCACGGAGTCACCCAACAGGAAGCAAGTTAACTGCAGGAGGGAGAGGAGGTGGGAGATGGTGAAGCACCGTCCACAGTCTTTTCACTCTGTCCAATCTCTTTTCACTTTTGTTTCCATGTGTACTGCTCTGGGCTTCCTAGCAGTCCCCGCCCCGACACCCCTGCTCCTCCTCTTGCTTCTGGGCACCCCGGGCTGATTGAGCACTGCATGGTGAGCACCAACAGCACAGCTGTGACGATGTCTGGCTGACCTGAGAGTTACTTCCATGATTTGCTCACGTCTATGAATGTTCACAATGCAAGGTCCGTTCGTATCTGTGAAATGGTATTTGCAACTCAAATGTTCCTAAGTTGGGGACTTAGTGTACTGAACTTTGAGAATTCTTTCCATAATGCAACTTCAGGGACACGGAACATCCCTATGTAAGTGAGATACTGTCAAGAACTGTAGATCATCATACACTGGAACACTACTCAGGGTTGTGGAGAAATGAACTGTGAATGTATGTTTACAAACCTATTTGATAACGGTTTTGTTTCCACAATTTGAAAAACCTTCCTCTTCTGTCCTTGATGTTTTCTCTAGAAGCGCTGCTTTTCTTTCCTGATGCTGGCTTTCAAAGATTCTGGTGATTATTGGTCACAATTTACTTTTTATTTTTTTTTTTTTGTCTCTTTGAGACAGGGTCTCCCTATGCAGTTCAGGCTGGCCTTGAGCTCATTTTGTAGCCCAGGCTGCTCTCGAACTTGCAGTGGTCCTCCTTCCCCCTGCCTCCCGAGTGCTGGGATTACAGGCGTGCACCACCACACTCGGCCACAATTCACCTTTGGAAAAAGGCCAAGAAAGCTAAGTACAGGCCGTGGCTGTGGAAACCATCACCCCAGGCTTCCCTGCACCCGGAGCCAAGGTAACTGGCCTGGATGGAGCATAGGCCCTAAAGACCATGTGAGACCTTCCTGGGGGTGCCGACATCTAGCCCCTCCTTAGGGAAGGTATGCTCCCCCACCCTCCCTGCTTCCTCCTGGGAATGTGTGTACAGCTGATCTTGGGACTGCGCGTGCGCATGCTCCCTGTAGGGAGCAGGAATGTCGCAGGCATGGCCATTCCACTTAGTGTCCTCATGCTGAGGCGCTCACTTTACCTGCACCTGTGCAAGCCCTCGGGCCGGAGCTGTCACGCAGGCTGGCACGCATCCCTCCGCCTGCAGTTCCCTGGAGGGGCTCCTCTCATCACCTTTGGGCCTCAAACCTAAACACCTTCGCTAAAACAATAAACAAATGTGCTATTCCTTCCAAGGAGTCATAAACAAAAAATCCACCTAAGGGTGAAGGGAGGACAAGTGTCTTCATTACTTCTCTCATTGCTGAGACAAAAATACACAAGACCCAAAGTTAAAGGCGGAAAGGTATATTTAGCTCATAGCTTGTAGAAGTTTCAGTCCATCACCAGCTGGCTTCAAGCAGGGCGGCTTCACGGAGGAACACTTCACAGCGGACAGAAGTTAGCAAAGCAGGAAGGGGCCTGAACAGCATCTTTCTGTCCCCTTTATTTTATCCAGACTACCGGGGTTAGGGTGGTGCTAAACCAATCAGTGCAACAACTTAGTAATCAGACACCTTTATTCCCAGTATTGCACCAAGACTCGGTCGCACACTCTCGATCCAGCCCCCTCTGAAAAAGCCCCACCTATGACATGAGGCTTTGAGGGGACATTTAGGCACAAACCGTAACAGCAGGGGAACGGGAAAAAAAGAAGAAATAACACACACTATGTACAGGAACAAATCATGAATGTGATCATTATGTCTGACAAACATGTCCTAATAAAAAAATCCACCTTGACTTAGAACACTGGTAATAAGAAAGATAAAGCAGAAATTTAGAAATTAATACAGACGAAATTACCGAAATGGTCACTGCCATTTCTCCCACCTCCTGGAAGACTTCAGAAGCCAGAGCATGGCCCAGGAGACCTCAGGACCCCGGACTCAGCGTTGCGCTATTGGAGGCCTCCCCTCCTTAGGTTAAGCAGTGCATTTTATGACAGCCAATTACCTCCGTGGGCCCTGGAATACATCAGCGGAAACACAGTGTGTGGAAGACTAGAAAATAAGAATCGAGGCCTAACTGACCTTCCCAGTGGACACTAAGGGGGAAACAGCAAGCTGTGCTCCTCTGACCACACGCAGGCATGCTGGCCCGTTGCAGGTTCCAGGCAAGCGTCAACGCAGCTGAGAGCCGGTTGTTTCCCTGGGCACGTACTATATAGATAACGGCAGGCAGATGAATCTTGGGCTACTCTAATTGCTTCTCCGGTGTCTAAGTGAATAAGCAAGGCGAGCCCAATGCTCAGGGCTCTCCGTCCACTAGAGGTCAGAGCACCTGCACTCTAAACTGACTGTGTCTTTTTGTCTTTCATCCTTGTTCACCCCTATCAGGAAAAACTCAAAGGCTGGTTTCCTGCAATACAGTTTCATGAGTTTGCTTTGTAAAATTGTGAGATACTCGAGTTTAAAAAATTCTAGTTTCATCCAAAGGAAGAAAAAAAAAGTACCACCACAGAGCGTATTTAAGGCTCATGCTCATGGGAAGCGAGCCAGGCACCAGGCTAGGAAGGCAGAGCAGCTGCACCTTGGGGCCACCTGAGGGTCCCTCACAGGAGACTGGGCAGCTTGCTGTTCAGGGGCAGCCACTGGCACCCACCCTACCCTGGTCACCTCTTCTGAGACCTGGCTGGGACCAGTGCCCGATGTCTCTGGCAACTTAGCAAAACCCTGTCTCAGAATAAGGCATGAAAAGGGCTGGGTGTGGCTCAGTGCAAAGGGCCTGGATTTAATCCCTGGTACCACACACACACACAGAAAAAAAAGGCCTGTAAATTGTTCCTGTACGCACTTTGCTATCCATAGTCAAAAAAGGTAAACTAGAAATGAAAGACATCAACAGTACTAAGTTCTGATGGTTCAAAATTCCGGACCACTGATGTGGCATAACCCTTCAGCCTGCTTTTCACTTTGATTAATGTATAATTAGGTAGTGTACAAATTTTACTATGTAAAAAAACTCCATTGAGCCTATCTGGAAAACAATCAAGAAGCAGGAAAATTATAGCGATCTGGCTCATTTATATGGTCTCCCACAGAAGGAGCAGCAAGACTTCCAGATGAAGACCGTCTCCTTGATGACACACTTAATACAAAAATGGAATTATAACTTTCCGAGACTTTGGATAATCTTCAAACTTCTCAAGGTACCACCTAAAACAAGAAAATTTTAAAGAAAGGAAATTACTTTGTCACTTCAGCACTTTATGGACACTGACCAAAGTGGTAATATTTTTCATTATAAACGAATACTGAGATTTTAAAAGTAGTAGTAAAAACTCCAGCATTTCAAATACCGAGTTCAGTTTTACCCGCGTTATGGATAATGGCAGAACCTGAAGTGTGATTCAGACCAAGTAATCCACGGAGTTCATCTTTCTCCTGGGAAGCAAATTGCTGACCTGTACAAGGCACTCATGAGCTCCCTCCCCACTCCGGGGCAGTGCACAGCCAGGGGAGGGGAGGACCTGGCCAGCAGGCATCGCCTGACCCCTTCTCTGCCCCGTGGATAACTACAGCCTGACCCAGGGTCTGGAGAGGGCCGCCAGTCAGGTCTGGTTCCCGGGGAGCGTGCAGGAAGGAGGCAGAGTCGTCCGGGGCAATGCAGTTGGTGGCATCCACAGTTCTGCCCACAGCCAAAACAAACAGTATTTCCAGTTTTGACATATGAACAAACTTGCACTCATTCGTTCTGGTGTGATGGCCAATTGGGAAAGCTGGCAACTAAGCAAATGGAGTAAAAGTTGGAAATAATTTGAGGCCAGGCTCAGTGGCTGGCACCTGTAGCCCCAGATCCTCAGGAGGCTGAGGCAGGAGGATCACCTGAGTCCAAGAGTTCAAGTCCAGCCTGGACAACTGCACGAGACTCATTTAAAACAAAAAAAAAAAATTGGGGGGTAAGATGGAAAAATAGAAAAAAAAAAAAAAAAAAGGAGCTTCTGTAAGCACAAAAGAATGCTAAATTATGTGCTCAGGACTAAAGTGCTATTGAACTGTTGTTTCATTAGTGTCAGTCCTAATTCTATGATGATAAATGTTTTTGATGTTTTAACAGAAGGATATTTTTGATGTTTTCCTATGGAGTTGTTTCTATTACTACTGCATAGTTTTTTTAATTAAATAGTATTTCCTTTCCCTTTTGTCTAATTTTTATATGCTGCTAAACATATTTTAGATACACTGTGGTTTGTAAACTTCAGTCACTACGATGCGAATTATCATCCCCTGTGGTGGGAAAAGCTCCGCAGGGAGGCTGCCGAGGTACACTCTTGCACTGGACCTGGATGACTTACTGTACCGCAGACTGGACTTTGCAAAAAGGACATGTAAGTCTCCGTCGGCTCAGGATGTTAATTTGTAAATTCAGCAAGTCTGATTTTTCTACAGATAGTATAACATTTGAAATTATTGTCTCACGTAATTTTTTTCCTAAAAGGATTTGCATGAATATGTTGCTATGAAATCATTAAATAGATGAGAAGTCATGAAGGAAGCAGCCAGCTGTCTGGTAACATGGCAGAAGCGGGAAGCCAGCAGCTGCACGTGAGCGGGCACAACCCTGCTGGTTTTGGACGTGTTTCACGCCGCAGCGCTCCGACAACGGCTTCTCACAGGCCGGCCAGCCCGCTGCACTCACTGCCCACGCTGGCCTGTGGGCCCACAAGGCAGGGAGAAGACCAGTTTCCTACGTCGGTCAGGGCTTCGGGATCAAGTGTCCCCTCCCTCTGCCAGCAAGGGCCAGCGATGCTCCACGAGATAAGGGTGCCCACTGCAGTGTGGCCACAGGCAGCGGCAGGTGGCCGGGCATGTGCAGGGGCGCCACGACCTGTCCACGGCAAGCTCCTGACAGCTCCTTCGGGCTGGCTAGGAGGCAGCCACCGTCACAGCCGCGGGGACAGCGGCCGGCGCCTCTCCCAGCAGCCACGCATGGAAGACTGGGACGCAGCCTGGGGTTCGTGCACTGCTGGGGCCGGAAAAAGCACTAGTGTTGTCACGTCTCCCGGGAGAGGAATGCACGCCGGACAGGTTGTTTATTTCAGGGCCCCCGTTATTCCCCTTCTAGGTATCTCCTCAAGAGTTAAGGCATTTACTACACTGATACATGCATGGCCATGTGCAGCAGTACAACTCACAACAGCTGTACTTTGGAGGCCTCTGCACTCACCAACAGGTGAGCAGGTGAAGGAAATGTGGTATCTGCTCACAGCAGGGCACTGCTCTGCCACACAGAAGGGTCAGCTCGAGTCATCCACCCACAGGAAAATGGATGCACCCAGGGACGGTCGTGTTCCGTGAACTACATCACACACGAGCTTAATTCTGCATGGTCTCTCTTATATGAGAAACCCAAAGTATACATAAAGAGCAAAATGCAAGATAACAGGAAGGGGAGGGTAGACCTTTTGCAAATGGGAAGGAGACCCAAGAGCTGGGGTGGATTAACATGCTATGTATGGGTACCAACTCCGCACGATCAATGCAACCATTATGCACCACAAACATGTGCTAATAAAAGTAACTAAAAATCCATTTCACAGAGACAATTATATGGGAATACAATGTTAAATGGTAAAATTTTTCTCAATCACTGAAGTCACAAACCCACCTCAGGAAATGATGTTTTAAGATATATACTTTTTAAAAGGGCAAACAGCCTTTCTCTGCCTAGAGCTGAAGCAGCCTTAAGGTGTGGCGAGGGCCGACTCCAGTGGGTTGCCTTGATCCGATTCCTTTTCCCCTCATCTGTTTGAGGAAAGCCCCCTGCGCTGCATCAGATGACGCTGACTTCTAGGCCACCTTCAGAGTTATTCTGGGACGCAGTTGCTGCTCCTGTGACTCCCACAGTTTAGGGTAACATGGTCTCCCTTCAGTGGCCTTTCAGGACACCGAGGGACTGTGTGCTTGCTTTCTGGGGCTCAGAAATCACGCTTTCTGCACTCAGGTCTGACGAGCAGCATGGGAGACGGGCGCGGTGGGTGTAAGGGGGCCTCCACAGAAAGAGTCTCATCCCGTCTGTCTCTCTTTTCCCGTCATTACACCATCAATCACAGCGCCCTGAAGATGCACCGGACTCTTCCTGAATGGCACTGAACAGACAGGTGAGCTCTGTTTTCACTTCCACAGAGCTCCTCCAGGTGACTTCTGAGTTTCAGCTTCCGGCCTGGATGGCAGACAGCCCGGCCCGGGTCCACGGCTGCACATGCGCTGCAAAGCCCGCGCAGCCCGGCTCCAGGCGGGGGAGGAAGACCCCTCCAGCTCAGAATTCCTGTAACTTTCGCCCTCAGCAGCGAATGTGTGTCAGCAACCTGTCATTGCCCACCTAACACCTGAGCTTAACAATGCAACTGATTATGAATTTAAATACCGCTTGTTACAGAATTCCCTTGTCATGCAATATTGTTTTTAGAGCATTACAATAAACACGTAAAAGGAACAGCCCTATGGAGTAGGTTTTTCTTTTGGAATCAGTTTATTGATAGTCCAGTTAGGTGGGCTTCTGTGGTCTTTATTCAGTGGGTACCACTCTACTATAAGCCAGGATAAACTGGAGTCGTTTGTGGGAAAACAGATTCACCTTGGGACCACCATGTTCAGAGAAACAGATCCGGGCCCGCGGGGACACAGGCTCTCCTCTGGGGAGGGGGAATCCTGTCTTCCACTTGTGTATGTTTCACATTCAGATGTGCAGAGGGACGTTCCTGCTCTCTATTTTCCTTTGAGAAAACATCTTGACGACACTGGGCAGGCTCTTGAATCTTCCTTCACCCACTCTCCAAAGTATCAGTGCTATTACACGGGTTTCTATTATTAAAAACACGCCATTATCTGCTTTTTCACATGAAATAGCACAAATGTGAAGATCAGCACCTTTCTCAAAGGTGTTGACAGCTGTGTGGAGGAGCTTGGACCCCCGGGTCCTGGCCGTGCGGGCTGGTGACAGGCTCGGGGGAGGGCGGAAACCAGGACAAGGACTCCTCCCTGGTCAAGGTTAGCAGGCTCTCCCACAGGCGCTGGGACACAAACCCTGCCTGTTCTATTCGTTTTCTGAGACTCTTACACATAGGTAGTGTTAGTACTGAACTATATTATTAGCATTTGATATTAAACTACTAAGGTACTATTCCAGCCAAGTCACCTAGCAGAGGAGAAACCTGAAGCCTTTGAGAATCAGTCACTGCTCACGTTCCCAAGGCTCTGTCAGTGTGAAATGCAGGAAGTCCGGTGTGCTGGTTTCCTGTATCTATGGGGCCACAGCACCACAAACTGGTGGCTTGTAAGAGTAGCGACTGACCCTCTCCCAGGAGCAAGCATCCAAGGGGGACTGCTAACTGCGGGCTGGGGCCAGCATCCTTCCTCGTCGAGGCCCAGTCCTCTGGTCTCTGCCTCCTGTGTGGTGTTCTCTGGAGCGCACTGGATTCAGTTCTCCCCTTTCGGTGAGGTAGCTGCCCACGGCAGTGCGGCCTCACCCTAACCTCACTCTCACGGCACTCCTGCCTGTCAGGGCGCGCTTACAGGCATAGGAGACAGCAGTGACCTTTCCTTCCAGGGACACAGTTCAGCGCCTCGCGGGCAGTGACTCCTGACAGCCCACGTTCCCGGCCACTGTCAAGCCTGCAACTGCTGTTCCCAAACCTCAAACAGCAGCTCTGGGTTCTCACGGTCCCGGCACTCTCTTCCTGCCTGAGAGTGAAGACACAGCGTCCCTGGCACACCAGGCATCTGACGGAGATGCAGGGCACCCGCCTTGCATCTCACCCGTGTCCGCGCTGTGGGTGTCCACCAGAGACCCAGCAGTCAGGCTTTCCCTGCTCCAGCTCCAAAACAGATCCCCAGATCTCTCCATGCAGGAAGAGGCAGGAGGACGCCTAGGTATCTTTTGACTTTAAAAGGTTTGTACTTTTCCCACTCTACCAATCTAGTGACCCTTGGAGGTTTTTCTTTGTCCTTTTCTCCAAGACTCTGTGGGCAGGATGACGTTAGCCCCTGGCGCGTGCCCACAGCACAGCCCCCTTGGTGATCTCGATGGCACGTGGGGAGCCACGGTGCCGGGCACTCTTCAGCTCCAGAATTTGCCCCGTCCCTGCGCGCTGCTGCCTTCCTGCTCGTGCTAGCTTCATCGGCATTCTCAGGTTTTTTCTTTTCTGCAGTAGTGGGGATTGAACCCAAGGCCTTCACCTTGAGCTGTCACTATTTTATTTTTGAGACAGTTACTAAGTTCTAAGTAGCCGTGGCTAGGCTTAAAGTTGCGTTTCCTCCTACCTCAGTCTCCTCTAGTGTTGGCATTACAGGTGTGTGGCGCCGTAATTTTCTGGCATCCTCGATTTTAACTGCTGCTTCTACTTCAAGTCTGAATCCTCTGCTTGGTGTCAAGGCTCACCATGAACTCCAGGAGCAAACATGGGAGGCTCAGGTGTGGTGGACAAAACACCTGTGCTGGGGGCAGGGGACGGTGGCTCCTGACAGCTGGGTGACCCTGCAGCCCTGGGCCTCAGGGGCCGTCAGTTCTGGTCTTGCTGGGCCACAGCAAGCCTGACACTGAGACTGGGCAATTCAAATGACTCTCAGCACTTCTGGACAGCTAAGCTGAACATCTTTTAGACTAAAGTCGAAGCATCAGTGAAGAATGTTATAAGTGTTTTAAAACTTACCGGTGATGTTGTTTTGCTCTGGGGAATAAAATGGTAAATGTGGACAGAGCAAAAGCCGCGCCTTGGAGAGACCAGCTGGCCAACGCAAAGCCACACCACTCCACGATTTCCCCCAGATAGTTGGCGGCGGTTACATATTCAAACAAGCCTCCTAGACAAAACAGAGCAACACAGGGCATTTACTACGGAGCTACGTCTAGGGAAATCCCAACTTAACCAGTGCCAGAGAATACTACTCTGTACATCACCAGTGTAACGTGACTCGTGTGAAATGCACGCAGCACGTGTGTCTCTGGAAGCATCTACAGGGACAAACGCCAAACAACTGAGGCCATGTTCCCTCCTAGCTGTGACTTCAGGGCAGTCACCCTTTACACTTTCTGTTTGTGTAGCCACCTCAGCTCCTTACGTAATTTTGTCATTACTGTCTGTCTTATCTGCACCTGGGCAGCCAGGTCCCAGGACGGGGATCTCTGCACCCTCCTACAGAGGGCAGTATCACCCCAGGCCCAGAGCTGGAGTGGAGTGGGAAATCAGGGACCTTGCCCCCAAGTGTCCAGTGAGGAAGGAAACATCCAGTTGAGGGCTAGTGAGTAGTAAGCTCAGAAAACCCACAGGTGCCAACCTGCTAAGGATGTGCCCTGCGCACACCGGCGGCCTAAGAACCCTGTATTACCTAACAGTGAGCGTGGCTGTCACACACAGCCCACAGAATTCGTCCCACCCCACGCGGTGTCTTATCTGGATTTATGAGCTGCCAATGGCTCTGTTTATCTCAGAACCCATCTGTAACTCCTTATCTATGGATTTTGAAACTTCATCCCTTTGGCCTTGAGCAACACCCACCGCTGTTCAGAGTTCTGGCCAGAGCTCCTGGAAAACAGCACACAGCTGGGCTTCACAGGTTCGTGGAAATGACTGTGTTGGAAAACATGGCCACGCTGCACGGAAAAGACCCACCCTGAGGGGGAAGCACACCACGGCGGAGCCCTCTGGAGCACCGAGACCACATTCCGGGGCTCTGGAGTCTTTTGAACACGGTTTTGTCTATGCGAGGGACAAAGGGACCAGGGCAAGGTGCAGGCTTCCACCCTCCCACACCTCGTGGCCACCTCCAGAATCTGACAACCTCCCTCCAGCCACCCTAGGCCCCAAGGACTCGTGTGACTGCTGTCAATTTTCCCTGATACAAATATAAGCAGACAGTGATGGCGAACCTTTCAGAGCTTTCAACGATAACAAACAGCCTACTGCAGCACACGTGCCACAGGTTCGCCACCACTGGTACAGGGTGTGTGCTATCCAAAGCTGGACTTGAGTCTTGGCTCAATTCACAAAAGCTTCCTTGCACTCCTTTTTGGAACCTGTGCTCTGTCCCAGGGCCCTAGATTACTTCACAGCTCCCACATGCAGATGGCAGATCCCCCTTCCCTGCTCTCCGCAGCTCTCACTGGAAAAATCTCTTCGAGCTCACTCTCTGCCTTTTCTATGTCCTTTCTGTGGCATCTGGCTTTTGCTGTTGTTCTCTGTATGCCATGTGACCTAAGGGTCAAAAATAAAGAACTTTAGCAGCAGTTCTTCCCCCAAGTTTTACGGGTTCCCGGCTTGTCTTCCGCTGTAAGCATAGCCCCATCTGTGTGTCTCCGTATGTCTAGAGCTGTGTCCAGAGCTGCTGTGGACGTCCCCTCAGCCAGGGACAGCTGGGGATAGCGGGGGCAGGGGCTGCAGGTGCAGGGAGCCGACAGCAACAGGCTTGGCGTGGAGGTGCTGCCCGCTGGTGCTCTCACCCATGGCATCCGGGCTGCTGTTGCTCCATTTACATGGGAAATCATGTGGGGAACTCTGGCTTCAACTTTTCCCTGCTTTGTGAAATGCACTTCTGTTCCGACAGGTTTTGCTGCTCCGTGTCTTCCTTCACAGTGCGTCTGTAATGGTGTTGGGAAAATACCTTTCTTGTTCCGCTGGTATGAATATGTTGGGTTAGAACACAGAGCAGGAGACGGAGGGAAAAGGTTAGAGACGTCTGAGGGCATCTCTGCTGCTGTGTGGTCACAGGGCGGCTGCACACAGGGCAGCTCAGGGCCTCCCCAGGGACCCTGCTTCTCTGGCGATGCTCTTCCTCTTCCACAGACTGTCCTCCAGTCTTCCACCAGCGTGGCTTCAGGCTCTTCCAGCATTTTCTCCTTCTGCCATCCGGGGCGCCTGCCCTGCCCTGTCTCCTGTGGCCCATGGCAGCACTTTCCAGGGAGCAGCGCTGCTCAGGGATCTAATCGGACAGCTCCTGGGCAGGCATGAGGGGCACTGGGTCCTCTCTGAAGGACAGCTCCTTGGGAAGCCACCGAGGCTGCAGCCCAGCCAACACCTAGGGGAAGGGGCTTCTCTTCCAGCTGCCAGGCAGGGCGCGGCCACCAGTTGCCTACCTGGGACCCCACCAAGGTCACCATGCTTTCCCACACACATAGCTTGGGACTTCCCGAGGTCAGTCCTCCCAGACTGAAGGCTCTCTGGGCCACGGCTTAATGTGATCATTTGCTTTTGTTGGTAAAACATCTGAAATCCTTCAGGTCATCTAGACTTTCCCTCATGGTGCCAATGTCCTTGTGAGTGCCGCAGCTTCTGTGTCTCTTACGCTGGAAATGAGGTCTATGGGGTCCACGAGGCCCCGGGTTGAAGGCAGGTGCCTCTCAGGACTGGGGTTCTGGCTGCCCGGGCACATGAATGCACTCCCACTCCCACTCCTACTTGGCACAACCTGGCATTAACCAATGGTCAAGGATTTTCAGGCCACCCCAGGCCGGGACTTCCGGTTCCACGGGGTGGCCACGCGCGGCACACGCTCACTCAGCGCTTCCTGGATTCCCAGAGCACTTACTGGATCTGATCCTCTCAAGATTTCTTTCTTTTTGGACAGTAGATCGATGCACGTAACAACGCTTTTAAAACTTCACCCAACATTTTAAGGTCTGTCTAGGAGTCATGTCCACAGGGTTTCGGGGAGCACAGGCATCAGGCTGCGGTGAACTGAGTTCCTCGTCATCCTGTCTCCAGATGCAGATCTTCCCTTTTGCTTCATACCCATCTCCTTACCCAGAATCAGTTCTTTTGTTTTTCTAAAAGGAAAACAACGGCCGAGGTGACTCACTGCAAACTTGCAGCTAACGCACACAGGCTGTGAGTCATGGGAGTCATCAAGGCTGGGACGGCCGGGCATGGAGTGGGGCGGTGGGAGAAAGCCTGCCCTCTCGGGACGCACCCCGTGGAATTTTGTAACCTGTCTCCTCTGGTTTTCGGAGATTCCTCAGTATGTGATCTGAGTGGATGTTTATCAGCATGCCTGTGAGCCACAAGGCAAACCCTAAGAGAAAAAAAGACAAGATTATTATGGTAATGAACCGCTGCGCTCAAGAATCCTCGCGGACTGAACAGGTCCCCCAAATCCTCTTCATCACCCTCATCTGTGCTGTGTAGCAGGAGAAGCTGCTGGAAGACCCTGGGCGCTGTCGTGGTGCGATGCCTATGGGCTTTGCTATCCCAGTGACGTTCATAAAGTACCCAACCACCAAACATGCCCAGGCCTGACGGTCCCGATCTATATTCAGGATCAGAGAGGCCCCAAAGCCTTGGACACAGCTGTGCTCCTCAGCAGGAGCGGCCCACAGGTGTACCCGACCACGTTCCCCAGGGCCTGCCGGACAGGGAGGGGGAAGGATCACCCCTGCCGACCCTCACCAATGGGGCCCCTGCAGGAGTGGCACACGTTCCTGGGTGCCCAGGTCTGGACCCCTTTTCTCCTTTCCTTACCACTTCATTCAGTGTACTGGCCCTGGCTTCCCCGCAGCTGAGTTCCTGCCGGGTCACCCTGCCGCACCCCTGGCTCACTCACTTCTCCTGCCCCAGCTGCAGTCCCTCCTACCCCGACACAGCAGGGTTTTCTTTCTATTCCTTAAATGTTCAGGGGTTTATCACTTAAAGCAGACTTCTCAGTACTACATCATTTAGGAACAACAAGACAAGGAAAAATAACAGAATGTTTTAGAAAGCCGTAACTGCTTTTTCATTTTCTTCTATCACTAGTTAATTCATTGGTACAATTCAGATATACATAATGATCACATTCATCGTATGAACTTTGTACCTCTATTTTTCCCATTCCTCTCCCCTCCCTTCAGCCCCTTTTCCCCTTTTTACAAGAGCTTTGTTTGTTTTTTTTTCTTTCCCTTTCTGTGTTAGTTACCTTTCTGTCAGTGTTGAGACAAAATACCTGACACTCAAAGTTATAGGAGGAAAAGTTTATTTAGCTCACAGTTTATAGAGGTTTCAGTCCATAATCAGGTGGCTCCAAGGCAGCGTGGCACATGGCGGAGGGGAGACTATTCACGGCAGTGGGAGACACCGAAAGCAAAAAGGGTCAGGGACAAGCCTCTTTCTTTCCCTTGTACTGAATGCAGGCTACCCGCCCTACGGCGGGTACAGCACTCACACCCTTAATGCTATGCCAGACCAGTCACTGGACTGATTTACTAATCACACACCCTAATCCCGGCATCACATACTCTAGACTCAGCCACCTCTGAAAAAGCCCTAGGACAGCATGAGGCTTGGTGCAATATCTAGTCAAAATGTAACACTTTCCTCCCTCCACCCCTTCTGCCCCTTCCCATTTGAACATTTTCTTCCCATTGCCCAGTGTCTACTATATATTTTGGTCTTTATACTTTCAGTTTCTTTTTTCTTTTTCTTTTTGTTACTGAGAATCAAACTCAGGGCCTTGTGCTTGCCATGCAAGCGCTGTGCCGCTAAACTACATCCCTGGCCCCTACACTTTCAGTTTCTCACACCAGACAAACAATGTGAGATTTACAGTATCCAATTTATTTCACTTAAAAGTATCATCTCCAGGTGCACCCATTTACCTAGAAATGTCTCAAGTTTATCCTTCTTTATGGCTGAGTAGTACTTCCTCATGTAAAAAAACCCCACATCTTCTTTATCCATTCACTGGCTCATGGTCATTTGATCTGTTTCCAAGATTTAGCTATTTCAAACTGTGCTGCTATGAACAAGCATGTGCATGTATCACTGTGATACAATGCTTTGAATTCTTTCAGGAAGACACCAAGAAGGGGAACAGCTGGGTCAAAGGGGACCTCTAAACCTAGTTTTTTTAGGAATTGCCACATTGATTCCACCAGTCTACACTCCAACCCTTCCAAAAAGGGGTTCTTTTCCCCTACAGCCCTTCTGTAGGAGTCATTTTAAATGTAATGAAAATTTTAACTCTGTCTTTCTAACACTAGTATATCTCTAACACTGTTCAAGGATGAGACTGGGAAACACAGTTGATTCTCATAATTAGAGAACTACAAAACTTAATGAGCCCAGAGCCAGCTGCGAGGTAAGTGTAACTTAGCCAGACAGTGATGTTTTTCTTACTTTTAAGTCCCAGAGTTACTGCCTCAAGGACACGTCTGCCTGGTCTCAATGACTGATTGTTCCCCCATGTTATAGGATAGCAACCATATTGGTTCCTGTAAGAGTAAATTCTACCTAGCCATCAATGACAAAGACATGTGCAACCAACTACAGAATATGCCTTTATCCTGAAAAATCTATATAAGCAATGAGTAACATCAAAATGGGGCTGGTGATTTGGACCTCGATGTCCCCCAGTCCACTACTGTAATAAAGCTGTCTGCCTTCCAAGTGTCTCTGGTCTGCGTCTTTGTCCCGTCTGGTCCTGAACACAACATTTGGGGGCTCGTCCAGGATACATCATGCGGACCACCTGGTCGCCGATGGAGGCCTGCTGAATGGCAGGGCTCCCCCTGACTTGCAGAGGAGAAGGCACTCCCTCTGATTCTTTTCTCAGAGCCTCCTCAGTGGTCAGGGAATTGAAGCCCCTGTATGCGGCAGCAGTGATCTCATCAGGACCCTAAGAGGACTCAGAACGTGATAAGGTCTGGCCACTGAAGAAGGCAGGAGTGCCCCTGGGACGTCCCTCAGTTAGCCTGTCAGTTTGTTTGTCAGTTCCATCCCCTGTAGGGATGAAGCGAGGACTTGATCAACCCTCGAAGCCTGTGCTAGCAAGCTGTGCTGGACAGGACATTCAGTTTCTGTTTCAAATTCAGTCAGACATTCGCGGGCTAAAATGTATTAACCTCTGAATGTGTGCTGGATGATTAAATCAATTATCTGTAACGATCAACTTGGTTGTTCTGTCTGTACTCCACTACAAAAGCAACCCCCACCCCCGGGAGCTTCGAGCTATAGAGCCTGAGTCCCACATGGGGCGCCTGTGTGTGTGTGCACGTGTGCGTGTGCATGTGCATGGTCACTCTCCCTGAGAGCACCCCCTCCTCTTCCTTCATCTGTTGCTACTCCATTCAAGGGCTCATAAAACATACACTATATGAGAAAACAGAGGGCACTCTAAACTTAGGAGTTGTTCGCCAGGTTTAAAACATAGTCCCCAAGCCCAGTCCAGAAAGCCTCCTAGATTCTAAATCCCCTAGACAGATAACAAAAAGGGCCAAAAAGAGTTTTCCTGTTCTGCCTTTCCACCCTGGCTCTGGAGAGTCCAGTCACTGCCTCCACTCATCTCATCTGCAGATGCTACTCTGCGCCCATCCGGGAGGTCCCCTTACTCTTAAATATGTTTTGTGCTGTAAAAAGGCATAAAAGGTTGCCTAACTTTAGTGCACTGGGATGTACAGATGGGGCGCACAGGCAGGCTAATCAAAGATGCCTGAGCAGCCAGCTGTGCCTGCCAAGACTGGAGATTAAACTAAACTAAAGTCTCCCTGGCTTCTAGAAGCTCAAGGCCAGCTCGTACTCAGCTTTATCAGCCAGAGGCCATCTATAGCTGACTAAATGCTGAGAATGCTCCACCCTGAAGTAAATGGTCAAAGTCCCGTCAAACCTAAGGAAGTTTTACAGGAAAAATCAAGTTATAAATTTTAACTAATTGGTAAATATATTTTGGTTTTCAGTTTGAACTGATGTGCATAAAACATTTCTTATACATTACGAAGTTTTAAATTTACCGGGTTAATTTGCTCTTTTCTCTATTCTGCTGTTTTAAAATAAGAACACTGATTCAAGGTTACTCAGGTTGCTGGCAGTTGGTCAAGTTTACTATCTGAGGGGAAAAAAAAGAGACACTTTAAAACTCAAGTGGCAGTAATCAATTTTGTTGTAAAAGGTTATAGTAAATGAAAAGTATTAAAAAGGCTATACATGTGAGATACTTTTGATATGAGAGGATTCTGTGTGATAACAGACTTGTTCTCCTAAAGAGATTAAAATAATAACGAGATTGTAAGACTTACATATGTTGAAGAAAACTTATGGAAATGGTGCATTAAAAAATATATGTATGGTCACTGGTTCATCTGATGCTTCGGTTGTTCCTTCTAAAAAACTTCCAGGAGGAAAATGATTATATTAACATGAGATTAGCAGTTAAACAGCCTTACAAACTTATGTGATGTATATGCTGTGTAACACTACTTACAACTGAGATGGACATGTATGTTACAAAAGATAAATGTCATCATGACTGACATACTAAAGCGTTATGTGTGGCTTTCAATCTCAGGTTTTCTTTGTAACTGCAGACTGTATAACTGCTGTCTGTTGATGTCCTGCAGGGATTCAACTGCCAGGACAGCCATGGTTGATAAAAGTAAGTTATCTGCTATACCTTACGTTTCAGAGTGCTCGATATTTAGATGAATTTATCATAATTAAACCCACGACAGTATTAAGGCCACTGATCTTCTCTTCAGTGTTCAACAACTGAGGTTTGGGGGCCAAAATTGAAAAGGTGACTAGGCTAGGAGGAACAAAAAAATGCCCCCAGTCAGTGTACTTCAGGTTTTCAGTCACCCAGGTAATAGTTCCGGTTCCAGATCTCAGTGCTCTTGTGTCTTGAAAATGGCTGGTCACTGTGAAACACAGCTAGTCACTATGACTGTAAAACTGCTGTAATACACCTCTCCTGCCTGTAAAGCCGAGCAAGACCTTCAAGCCGCCAACGTCACAGTGACTGCCCTCATGCTTTTTGGACTGTTCTGGCTTCTCTATGCTTTTTCAGACTGTCAGTCCCTGTTTGCAAGCACTTGTTACAACCACCCTCTCACTTAAGGCGGAAAACAAACTGACTTTGAGAGATGAAGACGAATGGTCCTCTGGTGGCTATGCAAACAGCGCCCAAGGGAAGGGAAACCCCCGGGAATGACTGATAGGCGATCCCAGCCTTCTTATGGCTACCTGTAGCCACCTTCTTGGCAGCGTGCAAGGCCCCAAAGGACTGAGAAACAGTCTGTTTGGAGCCTGAGGATGTCCTGCAAGCTT